TATTATAAACAGCAATTGGACGCTAATAATAACACGAGTATAATTAGATTACAATATTTATTGCCTTATCTTATATTGAATAAATATATCAAGTATTATTCAACATTATATACACTACAAATATAAAATATCTACATAGCATTTTCCCTTTAAACTCAATGTAAAGTGAGTTAAAAGTATTTACATAAAAGTTAATAAATAGATTAATCACAATTAAAATTTACCCATTTTAAAAATATTTAACCAAGATGTATGTCCGATAGTTGGCTAAAGTTTCCAAAAATAATTTTGACCTCAAGTAGCCATTGCCGCAAATAGTGGTAAACTGAACGGATCGGTTGGTTTGGGGAACCGCTAACACTGACCAGTGATTATCATGCAAGTTTATGTCATGGAATTTATACATTTGATGTTTATCTATCATTTGAAATACTGATTAATGCTTTCTCGCCACACACTCTTCCGTTACAGACCTATAACCGAACCCCAAAAACCCGTATTGAAGAGCATAAAGGGAAATGTGTGTCGGTAAATATTTTTAAAAATGGATAACTTTTAATTGTGATTAATCTACTTATTAACTTTTATGTAAATACTTTTAACTCACTTTACATTGAGTTTAATGGGAAAATGCTATGTAGATACTTTATATTTGTAGTGTATATAATGTTGAATAATACTTGATATATTTATTCAATATAAGATAAGGCAATAAATATTGTAATCTAATTATACTCGTGTTATTATTAGCGTCCAATTGCTGTTTATAATAATGATTTCAAGTGTTTAATCGGTCAATACATATATATGAATAGCAAATGTTCATTTTATAATATTTTGCTGTCAATTCTGTCATTACTTCAACGATAATATTATATTATGTAAAATTTAGTCCAAATATGAATCCATATAAAATCGTTGTTTGCGAAAGATTTGCTGTTATTTTCAATATTAATAAATTTCAGTAGATTTTAATAAATATAATAAATGCTTATTACTGTAATATTTAAGTACCAGACGTTATACTTTATAGGAAATATTTGTATAAAAATATTTCAAGGCATTGAAAGCACACACTTTATAAGTCAATTTGTTTTTGATAAAAAATTTACAAGTTTACTTTTTTGTATTCAAAGACTTTTTTAATTAAATTGATTTTCTATATAAAGAAAACTTAATTAATTGTCTCATTTTGTTTTTATTCATTTAAATAACTTCAAATTAATTTTAGAGCACTTTATTTTATACATTATTTATTATATTTAAACCATTTTTAATACTTTTATCGTATATTTTAATTTAATGAATAAATTTTAGATAAAACAAGGTTGGTATGGCAATTCGATAGGTTAACTACAGTTCGGGTGATGCCAAGAGAATAGCGATCCTATAAACTACAATATTCAAACTTCAGAATTGATAATAACTAACGCGAAAAAACATTGTGAAAATATATACTGTCAATTGTAAAATAATATTGTAATAAAAATTTGATATGTTATTAAATAATGTTATCAAATTTTGATAATTTGATTAATAATTATAATTTTATTAAATAATAAATTTAACAAAGGGTTTTGTTCAATGGAAATGCATATCTGACTAAAAATTATAAATTATAATTTTGATTACAAAAACAATTATCATTTCAATTAAAATTAAAATTCAAATAAATAAATTACAATAAGGACGTGCTACATCATAAATAACGTTCAAAGTTGATAGAGAATTTTTAAATTTTTGTCATAACTTTTTGTAATTACGTCCGAATTAGAAATTCGATTCCTCGTCACCATTCTATTGATCTGACATAGACGATATACTTATTTATAAAACAAAAAATTTGGTTTTTACAATATTCCCGATTTGTAAACCCCGAGTGGCCAATGCGGCCAAACCCGAGGTCACTGATCATATGAAGTATATCACTCATTCCGACATCAAAGTACCAATGATTAATCAATGAATTCACAAATGTTTTATTAAACCTGTATTTATGTATCTTTTATGTGTATTTGTGTGAATCCATGGAAACAATATAACGTTAATAAAACAGGAATTAAACACAACTTAAAATATTACAAACAATAAAAGACAGAATTTAGTAAAAATGTACAAAAAGGAGAAATCATTAGTTTTAGTGTCAAGTGTTTCCCCTTTTGCTAAGAATTTGAGTGTTATTTACGAGAAGAACACATCAATACATATTTGTTCGTCACATAAGTTTCGCTTTAATGTAATCACTCTTAACACTGAAAACAAGGATAAAGACGTTCAAGAAATTTGCGTCGATTCTGACAAAGAAGCTGTTGATAAAGATTATATATTACAGGTTACCATGTTTGAACTCATTTATATGTAATTAATTCATAATTCATAAATATACCAATAAGATAATGCAATATTTAGAACTATTAATAATCATTACTGTTATGATTACCACAACAGATTAAATGGGTGGCATTAAATGAGAAAATCTTCTTGGTCATTCTTCTGCAAAATGGTCTTAAGGTATATGAAATAACAGAAATAACAACAATTTTACTTTACAGTAATTACAATTAGCCAATTAAGTAATAATATCCAACTAAATTAAACTAAAATATTAAATATAAATTCTTATAAAATAATCGTATTATACCGATTCCTACCATAATTTTTTAAAATAATATTATACATGAGGTAATATTTAAATGAAAATTACATTTAATTTTACAATATTAGATATACGACAACAATGGAAAGAATTTAATGTTTAGCCATTCATATACCGCAAAAAGTGATGAATTGTCAGAAAATACTTATTCAAGTGGTTATTTAAATGAAAATTACATTTAATTTTACAATATTAGATATACGACAACAATGGAAAGAATTTAATGTTTAGCCATTCATATACCGCAAAAAGTGATGAATTGTCAGAAAATACTTATTCAAGTGGTATCGCAGCTCTTAATGGATCAGTTGTTTGCATCGGTGCTAATAATGGATCAATTCTCAAATACTCGATCAATGAAACCAATAAAATATCATTTGATGAAACATCCAATGAAATTATTCATAAGAGGTTTTAAAACATTAGATAATATTATTGTTTTAACAATTAATTGTTAAATAATAAAATGTATGTAAAAATGTGATTTATTAATATTTAGGCCCATAACTGATTTAGCGTCAAACGAGAAGAATATTCTGGTTAGTTGTGACGATAGCGGGAAGATATGGGTTTGGGATTATATCGATTCTCGTTTGCAACAAACTGTTAGCTTTGAAGGCTATAACGGGTAAATCAAGCATTTTATTCAATTACATTATAATTCATTTGTGATTATAAGTCTCAACATTAATACATAATGTATTAAATAATAAACTATAACTGTAATACTATTTATAGAAATTTATTAAAATGTTGAATTTAATATTTAGATTTTCGTGCAATTGTTTGGCATTTTACAAGAAGTACGTGTTGGCCGGCTATGGTTCCGGTCATCTAAGAGTGTTTGACATAAACAGTAAACTATTAATAAGTGAGATATCAGGCCATTCCAAATGGGTTACAGCCATCGATGTGGCACCAGATACGGGTCGGGTATGTAAATCACATTTTAGATATTTATGTTTTTGTTATTATTGTACAAACTTTAACAATAATTTGTTTTAGATTCTGTCGACATCTGAAGATAGCTTCGTTAGGATTTGGCAAATGAATGAACAAAATGACACTTTTAAAGTGAATATTAATTAAATTGTCATTATATAAATGTACATTTATATACTAATGATGCCTATGATTGACTAAACCTATAGGTGAGCCATGAATTTAGCCAAAACATAGCAAACCATATGTTATTCGGCGGAGTATTTCTCGATAAATCCGGAAATTCGTTTTGTGTCTCAGGATATGATTCATTGGAATTGCATTATTTTTCCCAATAAATCACATTTTATTTATTTATTTATTTAAAACATTTTTATAACATTTCTTTTACCGATAATAAATTTTTCTGTTATTTAATCACAGATTTTAATCACAATTCTTTAGCAATTACTACACAATAAATATAATGTATATATTTAGGCTATTTTACAACTCGTCCTTTAAATCAAGCGTTAATTTATTAATTAGATTAGAAGTCAATTGATATAAATATGTAAAATAATTATTAAAAGTGTCTTTTTTTGTTTCATTTAACAAATCGTCAGATATTTGCTTAAGAATTGATAAACTTTTTTGGAACTCTTGTTTGCAAATAATGGAAAGCGAATCCATGGCTTCAATTGTCTTCTCTCTGATATTTTTAAAATGGGTAAATTTTAATTGTGATTAATCTATTTATTAACTTTTATGTAAATACTTTTAACTCACTTTACATTGAGTTTAAAGGGAAAATGCTATGTAGATATTTTATATTTGTAGTGTACATCTATAGTATATTCTGTATACATTAATAACACTTCCTTTAAGTATATGAATTTTATTTACACCAAACCTCTACACTCTTACTAGAAGTGCAATCAGTTATAAATTCAT